CTTCGACGTTTGACACCTCTAGGCTCTATTCAACGCTTTGAGTTTGAGTCCAACTCTCCAACTCCAAGTCTGTTTGTTAAGTCATTAAGGCTGGGGTGTTCAACGAGATTACTCCAAGTCTGTTTGTCAAGTGTTTTTGTTAAGTCACTTAGGGCTCGTTTGGAAGTGCTTTTGGAGCAGTGAAAAGCGCTTCTAAATGGGTGAAAGCGCTTCTGTCTTTTAAAAATGGAGTTTGGCAAAAATTTCAAAAGCACTTTGGGTGAGATCCAAAAGCACTTGGAGTGGTTTTGGAAGAAGCACTTGAGAGGTGCTTCTTCTTAAAAGCGCTGCAGGACAAAAACACGGGAAGCACTTGGCTCCTTTTAATGAAACTTTTAAAATGCCGAAAATACCCATATTTAAGTTTTTTAAATGCCAAAATACCCTTTCTTTCATTTCTCTCTCTCTCTCTCTCTCTCTCTCTCTCTCTCTCTCTCCTATGACAACAGCGCTGAAAATCTCGAGTCACAAACTCAAGCCATTATCATTAAACTTCAACAGTAACACCACAGTAAAGAAGATCAGCATAGAGACTCCCAACATTGTTTCTTATGAATATAGTGGTGGTGACAAATTTCAGCCTTTGTTTTCTTTGAAATCGACGAAGCTAGAAAACGTTTATCTTTCCGTAAGTCCCGTGAGTGCTATTGTCACTTCATGGTTTCTTCAACTGCCACAATATCTTTGGAAGTTCAAGCCAAAAGAAGGGGTGGTCTTCAACTTTCACTGTCCTTCCGTCTCTCTTTAAATTATTTGGAGGTTTGGTATTCGTTCTTAAGAATATCATTCTGTTTCTCTCGTTCATGGTATCCTTCTTGTTTATGCTTGTTGCAATTCCTTTTTGTATTCTTTTGAATTTCCAGAATTTATTAATGTGGCAAGTGAATGAATTTGATTATATTTGATCCTACCTCTCATTACTTGCACAGCTCTCTTATGATTAATGTATTAATTGTATTTTGTCACCTTAATTAGCTTATTTTTCTAAATGCAGATCAGATTTGTTGGAGCAGAATTAAGAGAAGAAACAATTCCTCCAGTTTCGAAAATTCAATATTTGGGATTCTTTAAAAAAAATTTAAGTACTTTTAAAAGCGCTTTTACTGTGTCAACCAAACACTCAACAAAATATCAAAAGTGCTTTTATGTAGTGTAAAAGCACTTTTAAATGTGACATCCAAACGACAAACTGCTTCTTTGTAGAAGTGCTTATGTCATAAGCGCTACTGGCATAAGCACTACTGGCATAAGCACTTCGGGAAGAAGCACTCCCAAACGAGCCCTTAAGGGCTCATTTGGGAGTGCTTTTGGAGCAGCGAAAAGCGCTTCTAAATGGGTGAAGGCGCTTCTGTATTTTAAAAATGGTGTTTGGCAAAAATTACAAAAGCGCTTTGGGTGAGATCCAAAAGCACTTGGAGTGGTTTTGGAAGAAGCACTTTAGAGGTGCTTCTTCTTAAAAGTGATGCAGGACAAAAACACGGGAAGCACTTGGCTCCCTTTAATGAAACTTTTAAAATGCTGAAAATACCCATATTTAATTTTTTTAAATGCCAAAATACCCCCTTGTTTTTTTTTTCTTTTTTTCTCTCTTTGTCTCCTATTAAAACCAAAACTACCCGCAAAATATCAGACGCCAAAACACCCAAACCTGAAGCTTCTATTCCATCTCTCTCACACAATCTGCTCTGATTGGCAACGAAGCTTCAGCCTCAACACCCTTCAGCAACACCCTTCTTCTTCTTCTGCCTTCACATCCACAAAGTCACAGCACACACCAACTCTTTAGATTTTTTGGACTTCATATTTCAGGGGAATTCCAGATCGTGGTGGACTTTTCATTTGTCATATTTCTGCTTCTTCTGAAAGAGAGGTAAATCATTGATTTTTGTTAACTTGTTTCTGCTTAAATCTCATGTTTCTGTTCTGTTAGTTGGTTCTTGTTGTTTCCAAATTTCTTGGCTTTTCTGTGTGTTCTCATAAATCCCAGCAATTGAACTTGAAAAGTTCCTGAATTTTTCGTTCACCATTAGCTTGTGATTGATAGTTTGATACTTTCCTTCTCTACCTCTACCAGGTGCATATCTCATGTTTATTTTTCTTTTGCTACTTTGATTTGCTGGAGTCTATTTGGTAAGTCATTGGTCATTGCATCACTTTTTTTTTAAAAAAAAAAATTTTACTTTCATTACTCAAGTTTTTAACTGATGTTCCAACTTGGTAGTGAAAAAAATGCAGTAGGTGCTTGAAGTGGGCTCGGGCCAAGCCCATTTAATTTCGGGCCACGGACCACCCCGGTCCATTGGACCTTTTTTTTTTATCTCGGCCTGGTCTAAGCTTTCATGCCGTGCCGAGCACGGCCCACTAATATTCATGCTCGTGCCATGCTGGGTCGGCCCATCCCGTTTGACACCTCTAGTGGGTCTTGTCAAGTGGCTTTTTGGATAGAAAAGTTGATGAAATTCTAAAAACTTAACGACATGGGTTAAATTGGTTGTTTTAATTACTTTAAGTGTTAAATTAAATGACTTTTATTTCCAGGGTAAAACGACACTTTACCCTTTATTTATTCAATGAAAAGTATATAGCGATTTGCTACAAAGACTCAATGTTATGTCATATTTAGCCCTGGCTTCACAATGTCGTATTCATTCAAAGTCGTTTTGCCCCTCAATTGTACACCTCAAAATTGACGGAAATAGGTAATAGAAGTGACGCCATGATTATTTTTTCTAACGGAAGTGGAGTTTAGGGACGACAAAAGCCATTTGCGATTCAAGGACCAACATGCGAATCAGGTACAACTGCAGCGAATATTGCTAATAAAAAGCTGCCATATTTTATTATAAAATGCATATTGAAATTATTTTCAATCTTGACTTTCCATGCGTCTACTATAATGAATGTAAAAGTCATTACAATTTCAAACTTAATAACACTTAAGGAATAAAAAATGAAATGATGTCAATTCCACTTTAAACTCCGTAATTCAATACTTGAAAAGCTAGGAACTAGATTAAGTAGGAGAGTAGTTAATCTCACACATATTCCTAACTTTCCCAATTCCTAAGTTCCCTATTACAAGTAAGTAAACATGTCATTGATGTTAATGTGTAAATCTCACCAATATATATCAAATTTTATAAGAGCATCCACAATGATGCTCTCTATTTCTTAGCTAAAATTGAGCTAAAAATTATAAGAAAGCTATTTTAGGAGCTCTCTAAAAAATTTCAACTCCAACCATACTCCCTAATTTGGAGAGTCATAAATGCTATAACTCTTTTTTGATTGGTCATCTCTATTATAAAATAAAATAAAAAATAGTTAGCATTAAATAAAGGTTTGAAATACTCATTAAATAAAGCAGCATTAAATTATAGGGAGTCACTAGGAGTTCTTTCTCTCTCCTCAGATTTAGGAGCTCCTAAAAAACTCTCTATTTTAGGAGGTGGATAGGGAGCATGGTTGGAGTTGCATTTTTATAATTCATCCCTAAAATTTGTCTAAGGAGGTGATTTAGGGAGCCCATTGTGGATGCTCTAAGGGTGTGCAAGATCCAATCCTATCCGTCTAAATCGACAGACCCAATTCACTCAAATCAACCGACCCAATCCGCCCAAACTGACCAATCCAATTTTAATTGGTTTTGATGATTTTACATATTGGATTGGATTCGTAATTCCCAAAACTAACATGATTGGATCAGGGATTTGCTTGTGAGAATAAAATAAAATCAAATCAAATCCAATTCAATGTAGTTAGTTTCATGCTTATTTTGCTCGTGTAGGTCTTTGTAATTGAAAAAGGTATGAATATTTTAAGTCATTTGAATGAGTTATGTTTAATTATAGAATCAAAACAATTTTCTCTCGTATTTTATTTATATTTGACATTTTCTCTCGTATTAAACCTAACAATAAACGTTTAATATTTTATTATTGTCATTTTCCATTATCAAAACCAATCATCTAATCCAATATAATCAAATATGAATTGGATTGAATTTAAAGCACTGCGTGACATGCAGATAGAACTGTCAATTACCTACCTAGAAAAAGTTATAATTTAGTAATAGAATTTAGGGTTAACTACTAAAGTTGTCCCTGTATTTTATCATGTAGGTCAATTTACTACACAGTTGCTCAATGTGGCCCTTCCAATTAGATTTATGTTAAAAACTGACTTTATTACTTTCTCGAACTAAATAAAAAATAAAAAATAAAAAAATCATTGCAAATATAAAATAACATTTTGTAGACTGAGTAAAGAAGGGACCCTTTTTGTTACCCAAAAAAGAGGGACCCTTCTTGGCTACAGAGGAGTAGTAGTTTACGTTGATTTCAAGGAGAATCTGTATTATTTTTAAAAAATTTCTATTTGGCTCCGTCAATTTTAAAGTCAATCTAAAGCTCCATATTTGTTGAGGTCAACACTGCTCCTGGTAAACAATTTACATGTAAGAATTCAACCTCGCTTTTTCACTTTATTCATCCATCAACTTTTTATTGTGCAGGGACGTTATGGCACCAGAATCCATCCATGCATGCATCAAGCTTATTAGAGAAATTTGTCCCCTCAAGATGGGAAGAAAGAACTTGTATTCATCAGTCAAAGTAATTGCATCAATTTTTGGCTGGGATTAAAACAAGCAGTAAACACACTTTCCTTTCTCAATTTTTGCACCAGTGCTTCTCTCTCGTCGTCTCTCACTAAATGCTTAAGGCGACAAAAGTCACAAAAACTCAGCTGAAGACGACAGGGAAGAACATTATCTGCAACCAAACTTTGTAGTGATCTCCCTTATTAGAAGATATAGAGTAGAGTGCAGAACTGAAAAATTCAATGTGTTTAGAAATTGCCGCAAATTCGTCAAAAGGATGTGCCTTCATACAAGTTCTAATAAGCAATGACAACAATTGTATCTGGCCGTTTGATGAACTTCTAAAAAGCAGAGAAACTAATTCACATAGAGAGAAAGGGGAGTGGGGGAAGGAGGGACGGGGTGAGGAGAGAACGAACCAGAGAATACCCAAGTCAACAATAAAGAAATTGTGGGAGGATTCATTAATGAAACCCAAAATGTAAAAGATAACAGTAGCCAAACCACTTTTACCTTTCTCCCCATCTCAACATAACGGAAAAAATGCATTTTAAAAACTGAGAACCTGCCTATAACTCGCACAAGACCGAAAAAAAAAAACAGTTACCAAAAGATTCACCATTAAAACTCAACCTCACTTTGGAAGGCTTCAAACCCATATAGAATTAATCAAGAACAAGAACCATAAAAATGGTGGTTGTGAAGGCCATAGTGCCAAGAATCATGAAGAATGAGATGAGCCAGTGTTCACCTTTGACGATAATAAATGACTGATAGCAACAATGCTTTCAAAGCGAAAGGTGTAAAGCGAGTTGAAGCTTTTTGGTACCTGAACTATTAAAATAATTCAAAAACAGTTTAAGAAGATAATGATTATCATTCAAACATAATAATCGATCACAAATCGTAATATAATCAATTAGTTGCACAATCAACAACTCCCGCCCCCAACGAAAAACAAAAAACACACACACAAGAAATATCATCCTTTGCACCAACACATACTGGTGCAAATGCGCACACATAGGATTGTTATGAACAGATGTGCAAAGGATAGAGCATCAGTTAATAACTTGTCCACACTAGAACTTACCTGAAGTTCAGAGATCAAGTGTAAATCATCATTTGCACCAACACAAACAAGCACAAAGACAACCTCATGCTCACACAGAGCATTGGTATGAGCAAACGTTCAAACCATAGAGCATCAGTTAATAACTTGTCAACAATTGAACTTACCTGAAGTTCAGAGATCAAGTGTAAACCATCATCTGCCCTAACAAACCATCGCAAATACACTTACAAAGAGGAGTGTTATAAACAAATGTGCAAAAGGACGGAGCATAAGTTAATAACTTGTCAACGTTTGAACTTACCTACAGTTCAAAGATCAAGTGTAAACTATCATCTGCACCAACACATACAGCAATCATGCTCACACAGAAGAATGTTGTGAACAGATAGATACAGCAGAACCTTCAGAACAAGACAAATACAACAGAACATTATCACTTTTCTAGAAATGGCCTCTATAAAATTTTCATTTCATATCCAAAATAGTTATATAAAAAATAATAACAATAATAATCAACATATGTGGGCTTAAGCTTTAAGTTCTAAGACTTAAGAGGGTTAGTTTCATTTGAGAACTAAAGATTGAATAAGTTACAACATAAACAATCTGTTAGCCCGCATCTTAAGAGATTTATTTAATAAGCATTAAACATATCATAGTATCAATGTTTCCTTGCAACTGTAACCTCTCGATATACCATGAATTCTAAATGTTGGGCTATTTAATCTTAATTGTGGGGAGAATCCCACAAGTCAGGGGGAGGGTCGGAATCAAACAGTTGTTGTTCCACTTACCACTAGCTTCAGCCTTTAGGAACAGTAGGCAGCAAATTTAAGGAATTTTGGTAGTGCTAAGCATGTGAGGCTATTTAAGGGCAATTTGGTCATTTTTGCACCTTAACAATAATTAAAATTTTGAGACAAAAAACACAAAATTATAATAATTAAAAACCCTTCAGCCACCTCTTTTCCCGTTCCCCACTACTGTTACACCCCCACCTCCCCCCAGCCTTCTCCATCCCTTTGCCCTTGCCCTTACCTGCCCTTTCCTGCACCCACCCAGCCACCTCTTCCTCATTGTTACCCCCACCACCAAAATCAAACCCCCAACTTGTAATTAAACTCAATACAAAGCATACCCAACCATAAATCACAACAAAGATTCAGAAAAATACAAGCATTCCATAACCCACAAGCACAACATCTCTCTCTCTCTCTCTCTCTCTCTCTCTCATATATGGGCGTATCAGGTGGGGGTTGTTGGTTGAGTAGCATGACGCAGATATTACACGATGTGGGTGTTGGGTGGACTAAGGAATTCAAGGGGTTAAGGTGGTTTTTTGGGAAAAGAGGGGTGCTGGAGTTGGGAGACTATGGTGGGGTGGCTTGGGGATGATGGTGGGGGAGGCTAGGGATTGGTGGGAGCAAGATGGGGTTGGGAAATGTTTTCGTTTTGTTTTCTTTTTCTTTATTGTTTTATAACATTATTTTATAATTATTTAAGTGTCATATGCAAGCATGTGACCATTCTTAACACTAATTGGATAAAATGTGAGTGAGACCATTCTTAACACTAATTGGATAAAATGTGAGTGAATCTAACGGTAGGGGGAAATTGACTAAAAATAATAATTGAGATCCTTAATTTTCTATAAAAAAAAGGATAGGGGGTAAATCGAAAGTTAAGTACAAGTTCAAGGGGCAAATCAATAGTTAACCCTAAAAATATTTCAATTATGGACTCAGGGATCCAGGCTCTCATTATCAAATACAACACCACCAACTTGAGCTAATTTGATGATACAAAATGTCACAACTATTGTTTCACTTCTTCAGATGCATACCTTCAGGTTAATGACAGCTACTCTATTTCCTGGTGCTGAGTTCTTATTTTCCATAGCCCAAGTCATTGACTTTAGACAAGGAAGTACAACCTACAGAAAAAACCAGATCAATGCCATGATCTTGCACTTGGAAAAAAAGGATATACAAGAACAGAAACAAAGCAAAGAACTCTTTTCCATACCACGTTCTCACAAGTACCATCATTCCGATGAAGAGATACAGGGGCCATTCTTGGCAAATTCAAGTCAGAAACAGTTTGAGCAGGTGCACCAGCATCATTCAGATTAAATCACTTCATTACTTCATTTTGGCGTGGCCACAACAAAGAGGTCATATCGGACGTTGATGTTGAGTTCTTCCTGTCATCATAGCCAGTCACAGTAACCTGAGAGCTACGAGGCGCAACTTTAGCTACATTTTTCTTAACAACGGAAACCTTCTTCCCACCACCTCTAATAGCAGTCATTGCTCCATCCTCTGCGTATTTGATGGCTTCTCAACATAGGTTGTTGTACCGTAAAGTTAGGGAGTCTTGGCCATGTAATTCACCAAGGCATGACTATGCTACTTCACAAATTTCATTGAAACCCACTTGTCTTGACCCTTTAACTCTATCCTAAGCATTCCCTCTTTTCAAACCCTCTCTGCCACATACAAACTCCTGAGCAATGGTTTCCCATCAGGTTTAGAACGACTAGATTGACCAACTTTAGGGCTAAAATCCAAACGTCTGGCGTATTCATCATAGAAAGTCTTGGCAGCCTCTTCAGAATTAAATTCCATACCCACGTATGGCTCGGAAATCCCATCCTCATCGTGAGACTCGGAATTTTCAGCATTATTCACTTCTCCACCTTCACTCCGTTCGAAAGGGGAGACGGGATTTGAAGTCTGGCTTCTGATGGTATTCACTAATACCAAAACAAAACAAAAAAAAATGCAGAAACCAAATATGTGGAATAACTCAAAGACGATCATGTTAGGGAGTGCTCATTTCTTTTACTTGTATGTATGCATTGTCTGGATGCTATGCAAAGCTAGGGACAAATAATAAAATAAAACACACTGCAGTTTATCTACAGTACAGATGCACTTCCATTAGTCATCAAGAATACAAAATGAGAATGAAATGTGAAGAACAACCAAGGATGCCCCTGATGGCTTTGTGAAACTTATGTGAAGATGACCATAAAGATAAGAGAAGCGTGCATATGCAAAAATAAACCAAACAAGATGGGCAGAAAGAACTTCTATATGAGGGAATTAGTAATTAGTAATTACAGCTTACAACAGAGAAGTTTGGATTTTAAAAACCTAACCTTTTCTCACTTTCTAATTGCAACAACTGTGACATTGTTTCTTTATCTAACTTGAATCCTGCTATCTCTACCTCCTTGCATACATCCCTACACTTTGCTTGCCTCCCAGAAACCATGTACATTTTAATCAAGTCCCGGTAGACGTCATATGTCGGAGAGAAACCTGCTTCCTTAAGCTTGGAAAAATATCTTACAGCCCTTGGAAGATCATTCAGAGCAACAAAAAGCTTTACTGTCACACGATAAGCTGGAAAATCAAAGGGACAATTTGAAGCCTCCATTTCCCAAACCACAGCCAAGGCCTCCCTGTATTTCTTCTCTGAATAGCGGCTATGAATCAGAGTTGTGTACATAACGACACTTGGATCATGCCCAGATTGTCTAAACCAGTCATAAACACTCTCCACAACTTCAAATCTCCCAAGCCTAATGCACACTTTCATAATAGCAGTACAATCCTGCTGGGTTAAATTCAGGTCTACTCTTTTCCCAAGCTCGTCCAGTAAGGTCCCTATAAGCCTATGCTTATCCGGGTTCTTCCCAAGCTTCAGTATTAGCTTGGCATATACGCTCGTATCCAACTTTCTTCCACTATTCTTAGCTATGAATATAAGCTTCCAAGCAAGATGCAAGCTTCCCCCTTTGATGAACCCTCTTGCCATTGCCTCAATCACACCACGACTTGCCAAACTGGTGAACTTGTCCAAATTGAATGGCAGTTTAAGCTCATGGTTCCTTGCCAGGACCTCAACAGCGGAAGCCAAAAGCCGGTCATCCGGGAAGAGGTGAGGCTGTTTCTGAGCCCAAGAGAAGGTCTGCAGAGCTCTGTCAGGGAGACCCATGTGACCCAATTCCCTAATTGTCATGGAGAGAGACCCTTTTCTCAGAAAGGGAACCCACTTGTTGAGAATTAGTCCCACATCTTCATCTGCCCCAAGGCTTCTAATTTCCCTTGCTAAACCAACAAGCGCATTGGGGTTCTTGTAGACTTGATCACAAATGGGTGCCATCTTGACATGTTTCTTCGGCCTAGGAAGTCCCAAAGGTCGAAGCTTGTAAGGAAGTGGGAGGGGGAGAGGCCTTTGTCTATCCAACTTTCCGGGCTTTTGGGGTATCCTCCCTTGGAAAAGTGATGAAATAGCTTCAATCTCATCTGCCTCCCAAGCAATATCTTCGCCATCTTCTTCTTCTTCTGCTTCTGCTTCCTTGAATTCCGTTTGAGATGATGGTTCTGTGGTGTTCTTCAACAAGTGGTTGATTCCAAGGTCCGGAGGAAGTTTGGTGCGCCGCGGGTAGCGAAGGTTGCTGGGAAGTCTTCTCCTTGTATTAGAATTAGAACGCGCCATCGGAGACACCCTACCATTTCCATTCCCATTTCCTGCAAAACTTTCTTGGAACAAAATGGGATTTATACCCAAGAATGCGCAATCCATTTTCTTCAACCTGAGATACTTGATTACCGACGGAAAGAGAAGAAGAGAGAGAGAGAGAGAGAGAGAGAGAGAGAGAGAGAGAGAGAGAGAGAGAGAGAGAGAGAGAGAAAGAGAAGACGAGAGAGAGAGAGAGAGAGAGAGAGAGAGAGAGAGAGAGAAGACGCTTGGAGAGATGGGAGATGAGGAAGAAGAGAATGCGGCTTAGGTGTTGAGTTTTTCTGTGTTACAGTGACAGCCACTGGCTGTAAAACAGTCACTTTTTAAGGGGGCACATATGTCTTTTCCATTTATTTCCAAATTAAGTAAAGGAAAAAACCTGAACAGCAACAGAAGGAGGAGGTGAGGCAGAGAATTTTGAGGAAGACTACGACTGCGATGAGATGATCTGTATAATAGAATCTCAAGTTTTAAGAATCGGTGCGAGTGAGTGAGGAGGGAGAGGGGATCGAGCCTGTCGGCTAAATTGGGAGGCACAAGCACGATCACCCCCCAGTTAGTAAAAACCAACTTCCCACATCTAGTTGCGTGTGTTGCGTGTATATTTTTGGGTAAATTCACAAGTTACTAATGCACACTTTTAATGGAAATAAATTCCAAGATTAAATGATGTGAGATGTAAATCACGTGTCGCTTACACTATCGCTTGTATTTAAAAAAAATTATAATTTTTAGGCTATTAATATGCTTTGATTTTAAGATGGCCAAACAACACTAGGAACTCTATTTTTAATTTTAATTGCTCACATCCTATTTGAACAGGTTTTTTACCCTTTTTTTTCACACTCAGTAGCCATAGAAAATAACAGCTAAAAGGATAGAGTAAAAAAAATTATCATCTCCTTGATCAAATCTTATAGCCTCAGCCAAAATATTATGAGGGTAGTCTCATTTTAGAGAGAGGTTTAGTTGGAATTCTATCTTGAATTTAAGTGGAAAAGATATAGGCTTGGTTTTTTTTCATGAGTCCTTTGTCTTCTTGCCTAACCCGCTGCAGCACTGTCTATTTATTTTTGTTCAGATCCTGCAGTGCAGCATAATTTTATCCAGTGAGATTTTTTTTTTTTCCAAAACTGCATGTAAATGAATATTGTAGATAAAATGCCCGAGTACCTGAACAATTAAATGACATTAGCGATGGTTGAACTCACGAGCACCTGAAAAATCATATACTCCAACTACCATAGTGAAGCAAAACAAACAATTCATATCTTATGCTACAACGCAAGGGGGAAAAAAGACTAGTGAAGCTGGGAGCTCAATGAGAGAGAACTTGCCACACCAGCTTACAGCTATCAGAATTAACTCTACCAATTCCTATTGAATAAAATCTTGTATCTCGCACAAACATGTCAAATAGTGTTACTCTCTAATTCTGGCGTGTCGTAGATTTTTTGACCGCATAGACCTATCAAATCTCTTCGATGCTTTGGATTTGGTACATGTACAAATATGTTGACAACAATCTTACACAAAGGGAAGGAAGGGCTATGCAAAGAGAGATATGTAGCAACTGCGAGCATCCTGAACTTGCTATGTGGTCACCTTTCCCCATGGAAACCAGACGTAACGTGCACCTGGCAGTACAGTATAGGAAGTAAAAAACATCCAAGGCCCTTACTTCCGCGGCTTTTTTGAGACAGACTCTGATTGAATCTCAGCCTGCCAAATTTAAAACTTTTGCATGATTAAACAGTAAAATAACCTAATTTAAAACTCAACATAAACATAGAGAAAGATGAACATGTTCCTACTTAAATTTTGCAAAACAACCACCCAAGGTTTTTTGGTTCTTTTTGATCAAGTACATTGATTTAAAAGAAAGAGGCAGAAGCCCCAGTATATGCGAGGTATACATCTACGAGAGTATTAAATCTATAAACTCTATCAACCTATCGCTTCTACCCACATTCCTGTTTTGTACCCCCCAAAAAGGCGACTGCAAGTGTAGCTCTATGGCTGCACAACTGTACATTCCTTGTATAACAAAAGGAAAAAGAAAAAGAAAAAAAAAAAAATTACCAATCAGACAATCTGTATCTGTCATCAAAGACACGTACGTCTGTTTCTCTCCCACAAAGGAAGCCACAACAATCCAAGTTGCTCAACAAGACACAGATAAGGGCGTAGTTCCCAAATAACAACACCTAACAATGGTTAGGAGAGCTATAACACCAGGTGACTGAAGCCATGGTAACTGAGCTCTTCAATGGGTTCAAAAAAAGATAAGAATTTCTGATTTCCCAAATTAAGGGCCCAATATACATGATACAATCAAAATATCCAACTGTGTATTTCAAACATGGATATGCAATCCATTCAACTGGTATAGTCCACAGCTGTAAGGGAGATCCAGGTTTCCTTCTCAAAACAGAAAAAATTTGGATTAAAAAGTAAAAACTGTTTGTAACTTTTAGTTTTTATTTTAATGGATCATTCTATATACGTCTTCTCATATCACTCACATTTATCATATCTGCTCAGTATCCTCTCATTTCTCCTTCTCTATCCTTACCTCAAAGCAAATTTGAATACCAAAAACAAAAATGTCAACAGAAAGGTCCTAAGCAACTTCTTTGCCAATGCCCTTAAGTGATACCAAGCCTATACTAATTATGATATCTTTGATTATCTAGTAACCCTATCTTCCACAAGTAGAATTCCTTCAGCTATTGTTGGTCAAGATCCCAATCTCATTTCTTACACACCCACCAAATTATTGAACACCTCTTTGATTCCATATGGTAAAATCCATCTAAAGCACCTTTTATATTTTGGGGTTGATAAATGATTATGCAGCAAAATCTAGCACCCTCTCACAAGATCTCTACCACAGCCACTGATATAAGCCAGAGGTTCTGAAGATGAAACGGAGCTCTTCTTCTACACATACCCTTCGATCCCAAATGAGTGGCCAGTGCACAGAAACTGAAAAGCTAAAATACTAAAGAATACAGCTGAAATATGTCCTCTTCTCTCTAAAAGGAAACAGAAATCCCCCTTTCCTTTTTCCCATTCCCAATGGCAAGTCCATTAATTCCATGTTATCCACAAAAATGAAAATCACCTTCCACACCCTGGCACATGTCCTTAGTAGTATTTTATCCTACCAACAAGCTTTTCCTTTCCTTATCATCATCAGGGCCATACAACCCATGTAAATCTAACTTGTACCTCAAGTGAAAAAGGCAGAAGGATAGGAACAGAACCCTATTACCTCCCTTAGTTATGACTATAGTATCCCAATCCAAACTTTTTAGACAAGAAGGCATTTTTACAGTCATTAACTATAAAAACATTTTAGGGATATTTATATTCCTTTTTGTTTAATTTATTTTCTTTATTCTATAAAATTTTATGTTTCCTTATCGGCCGTGCAGATAGTATCGGGCTTTCAATTTACAGATATTTCAGGGGATATATTGATATCGTTTTAGGTATCGGGGAAAATTGACAAGAAAGACGGATATTGACTTAAAAACATGGAATTTTGAAGTAAAACTTTCATAGACATTAAGTACATTATCAATGACTGCATTGAACAAATAAAATTCAAAATATACCAAGTATAAAATATGCATATGATGAATTGTATGTGTATATAATGCATGTTCATGAAAAGCCTGAAAATAAAACTTCGATTAGAATGATAAAATAAAATCAATTGACACAATAGATGCATAACCCAAACAAAATAAATTCAATCAGACTTAACACAACAAAGACAAACATGCAGCCTGACCCATTGATACATAACCCAACCCAACTCATTAATACATAACCCAACATTAGACAATTAGATTTAATGATAAAGGTGCCGAATGAGAGATAGAAAATGAGATGAAAAAGAAAATTAAACAAACCAGAACCAGAGCAATGAGAGACAGAGACAGAGACAGACAGACAGACAGACAGACAGACGGACAGAGATAACATTTCAGAACAATTTTTAAATCGATAAAACAGCATCGATGTAGTCGAAAAACAAGACAATATCAAATAGCGAATTGGTTGAAAATGCTTACAGCACTTGAAAGCTGCTCACGGATATAGGCCATTGATCTTAGCATGGCACCTAATGTATCCCTAGAAACTTGAAACTTGACCTCTGACTCCCCTGAAGTTGTCTCTGCGTCTTGAAGCTGAAAGAATAGGGGGGAAATGGCTTATCTTAAACGATCAAACAATAATAAGTAAACGAAACATTCAGAAAATTATCACTTTTCTAGAAGTGGCTTCTATAAAATTTTCATTCAATATCCAAAATAGTTATAATAAAAATAATAACAATAATAGTCCACACATGTGGGCTTAAGGCTTTAAGTTCTAAGACTTATATTAAGAGGGCTAGTTTCATTTGAGAAATAAAGATTTAATAAGTTACAACATAAACAATCTGTTAGTCCGCATCTTAACAGATTTATTTAATAAGCATTAAGCTTGTCATAGTATCAAAGTTTCCTTGTAACTGTAACCTCTCAATATATCTTGAATTCTAAATGTTGGGCTATTTAATCTTAATTGTGGGGAGAGTCCCACATGTGAGGGTGAGGGTTGGAATCAAACAGTTGTTCCACATACCACTAGCTTTAGCCTTTAGGAACGATGGTCGGCAGCAAGTTTAAAGAATTTTGGTAGTGCTAAAATCAAGATTAATAGAAGGAAAAGGTTTCGAAACAAGTACACTTCAAGGGTAAAAGGTGCAACATGTAACAAATCTTGTTGCAGTTCCAATTTCATCCTCAGGTAGAAATCTGATTAAATCATGTGGTTCTTGTATCTTAAAATTGCCTCTAGTTATAATCTAGTTTATGTTTCACTCCTCTAACACCAATTGTTTTTTACAACCAATAAAATACATAATGAATTCATGTATCCCTCCAATATTGGGGATTACAATCCAAGTCGACGCAGTCGACAAAAGATGCAACCTTCAAATGCAAGAAACAGAGCCTCAAGAACACAACATATAGAAAAGCAGAATTCGTACTATGAGAAAACAGAAGTACCCGGCCAAAGTAAGAAACAGAAACTTCCCAATCCACATTTAAAAGAAAGGAAGACATGAAACCTAGAAGAAACCTAGGCCAAAGTCTAGCCTTAACCCAGAGGCAGTCCACAACTACGCAACCTTCCCTTACAAATTCGGATGTTTCCTTCCACAAAAAGTCACTAGCACGCTCCACCAAATCTTTTCCTTCTCCCCTTCACCAAAAGCATAATAACTCCCTACAAATAAAGGATTGAATGAAGCGGGAAGTACCCAACTTAAGCTAGAAACACGAAACAGATTAAACCATGGTCTCAAAGGCAATGATTAATGAAGAGAGCGATGATGGAATCTCTGTGAAGCTCCTTTGCACTTAGAGCACAAGTTAGGGTATGAACGAGTCAAACGAGATTTGGACTTGAACAAATTTGGCCTTCCAAGGGCATTGTCATGAGTGTCCACTGTTTAAAAGGAAGATCTAGATAGCAAAACTTATTGAACAAAGTCTAGAGTATTTTGACTAATTAAACCATCATTCCACTTGCAGAAGACCCAGTTAGGAATGCGTTAAGTATATTCAACTAACAGCACAAGGGTGATTCCAAGTGAAAAACCCACGGCTCTACCCACAAGGTGGCCAAGGGAATAGAGAATGAACACAAACAACATGAGGATCCCCAAAATTGGTTCATCAAACAGTCAGGGCAAGTTTAAGAGATAATGGTTTGAAATTTTGACTCCCATACCTTCAGATTTATAACAGCAACCTTATTAGCTGGTGTTGAGAGCTGATCACTGATGTAGGCCATGGACCTTAACATTGGCTCCAATGATACCCTTGAGAGCTGAAACTTAACCTCTGATTCAGTTGATAGAGTCCTGCTATAATCTTGCAGCTGCAGTGGGTATAAACAAAGTTTAAAAATAAAATAATGGAAGAAAAAAAAAACACTCTTTGCCCGATTGTAAACTAAGTTTGAGAGTGCAAACCAGAACATCCCACTAGCACAAGGCTACGGGTCACAATTAAGCCATACAATAATCTAATATCTAGAAACAAAAAAAAATAAACAAACTCAAAACATATAAAAAAATTTCATTTTCAGACTCATGGATCCAGGCTATCATTATCAAATACACCACCACCAATTTGAGCTAATTGGATGATACAAAATGTCACAACTATTGTTTCACTTCTTCATATGTGTACCTTCAGGTTAATGACAGCTACTCGATTTCCTGGTGCTGAATTCTTATTTTCCATGACCCAAGTCATTGACTTTAGACACGGAAGTACCACCTACAGAAAAACCAAAATCAATGCCATGACATTGCACTCAGGAAAAAAAAAAAAAAAAGATATAGAAGAACAGAAACAAAGCAAAGAATTCTATTCCATACCATGTTCTCAGGAGTACCATCATCCCGATGAAGAGATACAGGGGCCATTCGTGGCAAATTCAAGTCAGAAACAGTTTGAGCAGGTGCACCCGCATCATTCAGATTAAATCGCTTCATTACTTCATCTTGGCGTGGCCACAACAAAGGGGTCATATCGGACGTTGATGTCGAGTTTTTCCTGTCATCATAGCCAGTCACACTAACCTGAGAGTTAGGAGGTGCAACTTTAGCTACATTTTTCTTAACAACAGAAACCTTCTTCCCACCATCTCTAAGAGCAGTCATTGCTGCAACAAAAGTTTCTGTAGTGGTTGCCCCATCCTCTGCATATTTGATGGCTTCTCGACATAGGTTGTTGTACCGTAAAGTTAGGGAGTCTTGGCCATGTAACTCACCGCTACGTTCATCTAGGGTAGTTCCACTCTTTGCATTTCTTGTCCATCGTTTCAAAATATAGTGAGAAGGCAATGTAAGCACATTTGTCACAGTAAAGACTGTCAAAACATGTCTACAGAGAATTCCTGAAGACTCAAACATTTGACAACTACAATTAGCTCTCATCTCAGGATAGTTAAATGTAACGATGTACGCCTTGTGGTCATCTTCGAATTTTGCAACTCTGAATGTGCTAATAGCTCCATCACCTTCAATCCTATTTGCTGTGTACACAAAAGTCTCAACTAGCTCTTCTTGAAATTTTGCAAAAATTTTTCTTGTATAAAGATTGGCTGCCTGTTTCTCCATGGGTGATGGTGTTCTCAACACTGGCGTTGTGCAAATTGTATCAAAGTCTGCTTCTATTTCCCTTTCAAACGAGTTCTCTAAAGCTCTTTCATACTGCCTAAAGAACATTGGTAATGTGGTCTGTTGATTCACATAGCCATCAAAAAAACCATCATGCCCTTGATTAGGTTTAGGAGATATGGCAGCAGAAAAGGAATCCCGGAAATACACAGGCACCCATTGAGCACGAGCACTATATAATGATTGAAGCCAATCATTTCTCCTGAGGTCATATTTATCAAGGATAGAATCCCACGACAATTCAAACTCCTCGATAGTTTCAGTCAAATTAATACAATTATAAAGTTCCACCTCAAAATAGGGATGTGCTTGACATACATGCGCCAACCTTTCCTGGCCTTCTCTTAAGACATGCGACTTGCTAATGCAGTGGCGGACTTCTGGAAACACCTGAGAAACTGCTGTCTGTATGGCTCTATCTTGATCAGTCATAAACGAGACAGGATGGCAGTCATTCATTGCTGTAAGGAATGTCTTGAACAACCAAATAAAAGATGCTTCTGACTCGTCTAGAAGTAATGCACAACCAAACAAAACTGTCTGACCATGATGGTTAACTCCTGTAAATGGAGCAAATGGCACTCTATACTGATTTACTCGGTACGCGGTATCAAGCGTAACAGCGTCACCAAAATGACAGTAAGCTGCTCTTGACCTCGCATCTGCCCAGAAAACGTTTGCCATGTGATTATCTTCATCAAGTTGTATTGCATAAAAGAAACCAGGGTTCTCAGCCTGCATTTTCTTGAAATACTCCAGCAAATTTTGAGCATCCTTCCCTAGTGTCCTCCTTCGACTACAAGGCCTAAGTTGATTCATTGTTACAGCATTCTTGACTGGCCGATTTGCTTCTGCAGATAAAGTATTCCTAACTACACGGTTTTTCTCTACAGGGGTACGGTTTCCATCCACGGAAACATACATAACACCACTGGGAACAATCCCTACTCCTTGATAAGTTTCAACCACGTTCTTTGCAGCACCAGCAAAATGCCGGCGAGGCCGAAGGTAATGCACCTTACCAGGACTCACCAAGGCATGACTATGCTCCTTCACAAATTTAGTTGAAACCCACTTGTGTTGACCCTTTAACTCTATCCTAAGCATTGCGTCACAACTATCAGCATGCCTTCTTTTCAAACCCTCTCTGCCACATACAAACTCCCGAGCAATGGTTGTCCCATCAGGTTTAGAACGACTAGATTGACCAACTTTAGAGCTAAAACCCAAGCGTCTGGCGTATTCATCATAGAAAGTCTTGGCAGCCTCTTCTGAATTAAATTCCATACCCACGTATGGCTCGGAAATCCCATCCTCATCGTGAGCCTCGGAATTTTCAACATTATTCATTTCTCCACCTTCACTCCTTTCAGCATCACCATCATCTGCCATTCCACGATGCCCCATTCCTTCCACATCAATAACTTCAACATCCATACTAAACCCACTGTGTGATGCTAAAGAATAGAATACTTTTCTTTTGAGCTAATCGAATAGCAGTGCACCATAACACTGAGAAAATGTAGTTGAATCTGCAAAGAATCCCAACCACAAAAACTAGTTCATAGTTGAGCCATAAGAAAAAAAATATTTACTCATATTATATCTGGGTAACTTTAATTACACAATGTAACTTTTTCCATGAATTGCAGTCTAAAGAATGTAAATTTTGAATAACCAAAATCGCCAAAGCAGCTGTGAATATATCAGAATTTCGGGCTGTTAATATGGATAGGAGGAGTGAAGTCTGTTATTTCCCCTATATTGTGGGTTTTGGCCAATATCGGTGAATATCGAAGAAATCCTAATATTGACCGGAAATATCCACGATAGTGTCGCCCAGAACGCAAAATTGACATGAAAAAGATGAAGGAGAAGAAACCCTTAACGTTTTTGGCGTTTTGGAATTCTAATTAACCAAACTGCAATCCAAAATTATCAAAATTAAGCCCTAATTTCCCCAAAAATTAACAGCAACTAATCGAAAGGAATCAAAACCAATCACTGAGGATACAAAGAACAAAAAGTCTCTGTCACCACTTACACTTCATTCAGCCCCTTTGCAGCTCCTTTTCAGCCCCGTGAAGCATTTGACACCACTTTCAATTCCTCCATCATTTTTTCGACAACCATTTCAGAGCACTACCCCCATTTAAATTATAGGCCTTCAACTTTGAATTGGCACCCCAATAGAGCACAGCCCAGCACAGCAAAGAAATTCTTCTTCACCAGCAAACAATTTCTTGCACTTCAAGTCGACCTACAATCTGTGAGCCTCCTCCTTCTTTCTCTCCGTCTCCCTCTCTCTCCCTCACTCTGTCTTCCTCTCTATCGCTCCCTCAGTCTCTGTTTCACTCTCTCCCCCTCTCCGTCTAACTCTCTCCCCTTCTATGTTAGTGTTCGAACCTCTTCTTCGCCCACCACCCCCCGC